TAATAACCATTTTAAAACAGGTAAATTCTAAGGCAAACAGTAATTTCAATTCTGAAAATCCTGTCAACAATTCTTTGAATAAAACACCAAATTCATTTGGAGAACGCAAAAGCAACAAAAACACTCCATTTAGACGTGTAAAAGATGATGAGATTACTGTTGATCCTCGTGTTGGAGACAATTCATTTGAAGCAAAGGTCAGAGCCAGTTTTTGTATCAATAACAATCGGTTAACATGTGCAGTGCACGAATGTGACATTTTGATTTCGTACATCATTTTTATATATGCTTGAGCAAAAACTGGCACTGGAATTGACAAGTGTATTGATCTCATTTTTAAATATTGCTTGATTTCGTGCAATGTATATGTTAACTGATCTATTTCTTTTTTTATATATTGTGCCTGCTTAATGAAGAATGATGACACCAACTCACCTCATAACAAATCTGGAGGATTTAATGATCGGCGCGGTGGATTTAATGGGGGCCGTGGAGGCGGGCGCGGTTTTGGTGGGAGAGGGGGTGGCGACCGCGGAGGTCGTGGCCGTGGGGGATTTGGCGGGCGAGGTGGACGTGGTGGATTTGGGGGAGATCGAGATGGTGATAATCGCAATGGTGGTGATCGAAAAAGTTTCGGTGGAGGTCGCGGTGGCTTTGGCGGTCGCGGGGGCGGCGGTGGTGATCGTGGAGGTTTCCGTAAATCTTGGGGAGGCGAGGGTGGCCGTGGTGGCGGTGGTGGTTTTGGCGGTCGAGGTGGACGAGGTGGTGGTGGCCGGGGTGGTTTTGGCGATAGGGGTGGGCGCGGAGGCGGTGGTGGCTTCAACAAAAGCTTCGGATCATCAGGAGAAAATAAGAAAATTACGTTCGATGATTAGATTTAAGTTGATTTGTATTAAAAGGTAGGTTAATAAGGCACAAAACATTTTTGTTGCAATCATTTACTATTTTTTGAAGTAATTTTTCCTAATTTTATTAACGTTTTTTTTTTGTTTTGTTTTAGAAAGGAGCACGAGGATCATGGGGTGAAAGGGCTAATCTTGATTTGAAACACACGAGAGGAAAATCATTTAGACATGAAAAGACTAAAAAGAAACGAGGTTCATATCGAGGTGGTGCCATTGACATGTCTGTGAACTCCATTAGATTTGACGATTAATCAATTACACTTATTTCCATAAGGACTGACTTTAAACATCCCATGTTTAATTTTTTCATATAATGACTTCACAAGATCTGCACCTTGTACTATTTACATATTTCTATGTATAAAATATTTGATTATTCACTTTCATACTTACATTTTAATTTTCTTTTTATTTTATTTGCTCATTTTTATATTTGATGTAAAACTGATTGTATGCTCTGTTAAAGCTGAGTTGCTATATTGTATAAGTTATATATAATTGTTTGATATAAGCATATTAATGTAATAATTAAGAATTGTAAAATATATTTATAGTCAACTATACTTTAAGCTATGTTATTTAGTTTAATTGTGAAACAAAACAATGACAAATTATTAAATTACATATATTTTTAAAATGAAAATGCTTTTATTTTGGACATACTACTGGACATACTATTTTGAATGAAATAGTTATAATGTAATGGTATTAAGCTTTTTTACAAATTTAACATTATTATATTTACAAGCTTAAATATTTCAATTTTTTGTTTAGTCATTCAGATGATTTTTTCAGTTTAGAAATTTGAAAATAAATAACTTGTACTTATGAACATTATATACACACAAATTTGCGTTGCTAAATCAGAGTTGTCTATATTGCCATAAGATTATTTCAAATAGTTACCCAAAATTATAAAATTTATGGAACGTTTTGTTGGCATAAAATTATTTTAAAGATATGTTTGGTGGAATTTTAGCCGCATTTATTGCCATAAAACCTATTTCAGTCAATTACGTTCAAAACAAATATTTGTACTAATGGTAACATGAGTCGGGCGAATTTACTGACAGAAATCTTATTAGACAAGGAAAAGTTTATGTATGTATCATAAAGCTATTATAGAAACACTAATATTGAACCCCTGAATGATTTGCAATAGTGAAGATTATTTTTACTGTGTATAAATTATACACTGTGTGAACTATTTTATCATAATAATTCAGTGACACGAAAATAATTCATCGATCACTTTTTTCTTACATATTTTAATTGGTAATATTATTACATTTAGTTTCTTCTAATTATATCTAAGGTATTATAAGATGGGTGTAAGGACAACTTAAAACTATATTAAATGTTATTCAAATACTGTAAACATTATTATCCTATGGCAATTTAACGAATTTTTTTCGATTAAAACAACAATAAGAAGGATTTTAAACGTAATTTAATTTAATTTTTCTTACATAAAACAAACAAAACTTCTTTACGTTGATCTTAAAAAATTCCTTTTACTTTTGGCGCCCATCCCTTTTTTTAACTGTTTCACAGTCATTAAAATTATATGAAAAAGTATGTTATATATATATACAAATTTGGCTACAGATGACGGTGGAACATTTGTTAATAAAATGCACTTGCAAAAATTGTGTTAGTTTTAGGTTTTTATGTTTTACTCGATTTTTTTTTATTATGATGCCATCAAGTATTTTTATTTTACAATCTTGCTTAAATGTGCGAACTTTGATGAAACTTGTCAACAAACTTTAGTACATTCTTTTTAAGGAGGGGGTTCCAAAAACTATCAATTTTGAAAATTTGAAAATTATAGTTTAACAAATAGTCTTAATTCCAGAAAACTGGGCGAAATTGTGTCTTATTTTACCGTGGGTCAGAAAAATTATTTACGGTTACGATTTCAAAGTTCGAATGAACAAATGTAATGAATAACATACAAATTATCCCAATATAACGAAATTCTAGACTGTACTTAAAAGCTCATAATTTTCAAACTACACAGGATAATTTTTTTGTCTATGTTTTTCATGATAGTTACAATCTATATGTACTATTCTATCACACCGTTTCGGCTTGATGTTCTGGGGCACCTTGTATACAAAGTTTATAAAATAAAAACTGAACTGAAAATGTTAAGCATTATTTTGAAATCTTTTATTATTATTTTTGAGAATTCGTTTTAAATATTTTTATTATTACGATATTATTTACTTTAAGTAGGCACCGGATGTACCTGTATATTAGATATTTTTTTACAATAGACTAACAATAAGTAATTTCGTATCACTCAATTTCTTATTATCCTGATTATTGCACATATTTATCTTGGTTATTAATATATTTACCCTTGGTGATTTGGCAAAGGCAGGTCTAGCCGTTTTGGAGATACTGAGCTAAATGTGCAAAAAATGCAATTTTTGAGAGAACTGAGCATCCGATTTGAATGATTCAAAAAACTTTCTGCTTGTGTTGACAGACGATTGCTTTTGAAGAAAAATATTAGTTATAGTTTTTTTTGAATTTCAAAAATGTTTTTTTTTTGAATATCGAAAATAAATTGAATTTTCTAGCTAAAGTTGTAAAGCTCACTAATATACTTCAAATATACAAATATTATACAAATAAATAATTTTAAATTTGCAATTCAGTTTATATAATTCTTATAAATATTAGACAATGTTACAGTATTTATTAACTTCCCGTAGGGCAAGTTATAGTAATCGCAAAAAAATCGAAAATGAAAATTTTTATATATTTTACGTTTCAAAGGTTTCTAATATTTTGGCATACCTTAGAAAAAATGGATGTATGTGTGTGTGTATGTGTGTGTGTGCATGTGTGTATGTGTGTGCAGATACAAATTTTCGTCGACGATTTCGGGAACACCGATTAAGCGATTTGAATAGTTCAAAAACATTCGATGCGTATTGATAAGGAGACGTGCTGATTAGTTTTTGGCAAAGGCAGGTCTAGCCGTTCCGAAGATACGGGTCAAAAAGTCCCAAAAATGGTAACTCAGTTTTTAAGGGAACGGAGCGTCCGATTTTAATAATTTAAAAAACATTTTATTTGTATTGACAAGATGAAGAATTGATCATGAAGGCAGGTCTAGCGGTTTCGGAGATCTAATGAAAAAAGTAAAAAAAATGCCATTTGGCGGTCAAAAATGATCATTAGACATATGCACATCAAATTATCAGATATTTTATAGAGATTTTAACAATAAGTATAATTTTTTTACATTTCTATGGGTTCCGTACCAATCCGTTAGACGGCGGCGCGGCACTTACGCGCTTTGAGATTTCGTCTGTATGCAGTTCAAGCAGTACGATTGCTTTGAAAAAAAGTTCAGAATTTCCAAAATATGTCAAAATGAAGGAAACATTTTTTTTCAAAAAAATTTTTTGTTTTCAAAAAAAAATTTTTTCGAAGTAAAATTTTTTCAAAAATGTTAATCGTTTTTAAAAAAAATAATAATTTTTGGTACGGGAAGTTCCAGCAATTTGCCTTAAGGCACGATGCCATTCACCACTAGTTTAAAATTTATAGTATACATTCTGTTGCGAAACTAGACATATATTGAAAACAAGCGCGCAAAAATACTTAAAATATTTTAATAAATAAATTTAATTTTATATGTCGATTGTTGTTTAGAATTGAACCGTTATTTACAGATCTCATAAGTTTTTAAAGTGTAATAAATGTACCGGGAGTGAACGACGGGGACATAATTAAAGACATTATCGCCTTAACAGAGAATACTTTTTTACATATCCTACATGCATAGGGGTGGTTTATTAGAAAAGACGAAGACCGCCCCCGAAGCCCGCACTATCAATTCGTAGTTCGAAATGATTAAAATTAAAGATATACGCTGGTGGCTCTGTCGATGGTGGCGACTGTCGAGTCAATGCGATAATGCGAAGCGGTTAGTTGATCGTGTTGTCCGAAGTCTTGCCGGTCCGCGAAGGAGTTCCTACCTGCTCATCTGTCGGCGCTCGGCCAAACCTGAACTTCTTCTTGTGTCAGTTTCAGTTGTCACTCGTCAGTAGGTAACACGATGTGCAACAGCTCGGGTCTCACAACTCTCAGATCGCGTTCTCACCTTTTAAATTAAAAACACGTTTCAATAAAAGATTCAAAAAGTGTTGTGAATTTGTGTTCGATTGCCATTATGCGAGTGATTGTCCTCTAACAGAAGTTATTACTTATTTTTCATTTATTCTTTAACGCAATCCAAAAAAAAAGACATTAGTTTAAAATGATTGTATCAGTAGAATTATTATTCCAAAAGGTGAGTGATAATACATATTGATTTTGATTAGTATATTTAATATGAGTACGGTGCATTATTTTAATTCAAACAAGAGCAGTTTTGTAATGAAACAGCGGATATATGCTTATAATTTATGCAGTATAGCAGTATCTTTTTCTTCGATAGTTTCGTCAATGTATTGGGATTGGGAATACATTAAAATACAGTTATTTTACGCGTTCGTTAAGTAACGGTCGTTTAACATAACAGCGCATCATTTAATAAAATCGTGTCAATATGTGATAAGTCAATAAATACATTATTGCACTTAACTAGATTATATATATATATATATATATATATATATATAATATGGATATATTATATTTCTTGATAGCAAAGCTTTCAACTTTTTTATTCTAAAAGTTTCGACATAAAATTCTATATTATCATCAGTGAATATAATTTTTGTCACAACGAATATATTGTACAAGATATAAGATATATAATTTGTTGTGTTACAAGTGCCAGTAATAATTTTTCATATAATTTTGCTAAAAAAATATAATAAAGGACAGAGATTTCACCGATTCTTTCAAGGCAAATTCGGACTCTGTATTGCAAATTACATTTATGTACTATTATTCTGTAGTTATGTATTATTGTACATTATATTTCTTGCATCTTCACTGATGATGACAGAAGCTTATAACAAAATGTGAGGAAAGATAAATATACTTTAAAATCTTCAACCTTATTTTGATCACTTGATGTTATTATATTATATGATATTAAATGCATCCTTATATTTAATTTGATGTTTATAATTGAATTTGCAAACTACAGTGGGTAATTTGATTTTTTTCTTATATATATATATATATATATATATATATATATATATATATATATATATATACATATATATCTTAAGTCTATAATAATTGGAATCACATATTTTACAAGAATTTAACATCCAAAAACCGCATTTTATCAAAAGAATTTATGTCTCACTGACTTCGGTGGTCGCACAATAACATTCATTACAAAATATATGAAAAAGTACATAATTTCGAATTAAGTGTCCTTACATTTTTGGCCATAAAAAATAAGTACTACTGCCCTATGACAGGTCCGTCAGCTGAGTTAAACACCAACTCGATTCAGGAAAGAATATTGTGGGAAATTTCCCATTGCCAATTTTGCACCGCAGTGCCCAAAATGGGCTTATTTTTATTTTGAAACATATTTTTGATCTATATTTTCAAGTGAATTAGCTTTTAGGCGGTATGTACTAATATATATGTGCACTAATATTCATTACTAATGTGCATTAATATACCAGCTCGTACAAATTTTTTTATTCAATATATTAATTTATTTTAGTATTTTCTATAAAAAAGTTAAGTTGTGATAATTCACGTTGTGATAATTAAATTTTTATAGAGAATACATACTCAAATTTTAACTCATGGACTTACATCTTTTTGGTTGTTCCACTTCAATTTGTCTGCTTAAAATATAAACCATGCTGAACAATTAATATTTCTTCGTGTAATTTTTAATAATATTTGAATTTTCATTTTGTACTCTTCAGATCTTTCAGGTTTCAGTTCTCTCTTTCGTCTTGAAGGTACACAAAATCAAATGGCTATAAAATCTAATCAAATTATCTATCGGTCACATTAAAGCGAGAATAAGCTTTTGTTTGATTGATTCTTTTGAAAATCTAATTAAATTAATATGTATAATTCTCTAGTACTTGAAAGCTTCGCACAAAATCGTTAAAAGTATTCACTATTAGCAATAGCAATAATGCATATAGTGCGACATAATTCATGTTTTATAATTTCAGGATAAATTATTCATATGAATATATGAAAATATAATTATTAAACATGAATAATTTTGTAATAGATTCGTGCACCACACTATTTGTAAAAACTAGACAATTTTTTCATTGAACTATTGCTCTGTATTACGTTAGTTTATGGAATTGTTTATACATAGCAATAGAAAGAAAGCATCTCCTAAATTTTTGACCAACTTTCACAAAAGATTTTTTTGTTCTTCAAATAGTTTAAGAAACACGAATTTGGCAATAGGACTGATAGACAAAAGACGACTACATTGAGGCTACAATTAAGGATTCATAAACTTATACTCCTAATAAATACTTTGACTTTCATTTAATAATACCAAAAATTATAACACAAGTTATTTGTTAGTACGGCTTCACATTCATCGAAAAGCAAACTAGTGGGGAGCTTGGCAAATTGCTGGAACTTCCCGTATCGTAATTAAAAATCTTGGTACGGAACCCAAAAAAAAATAAATGTGTGTGCAAAATGTATACAAAATGTGTACAAATTATTAAAATTTCTATAAAATATTTGATTATTTGATGTACATATGTCCAATAAACATTTTTGATCGCCAAATGACATTTTTTAACTTATTTTTATTGAGAGTCTATAACCGCTGGACCTGCTTTCCCAAAAATTTAATCTGTTCTTCATCTTGTCAATACAAGTAAAATGTTTTTTGAATTATTAAAATCGGACGCTCCGATCTCTTAAAAACTGACGGGGCACTTTTTGCCCCGTATCTTCGGAACGGCTAGACCTTACTTCGCCAAAAATTAATCAGCACGTTTCCTTATCAATATGAATCTAATGTTTTTTGAATTATTCAAATCGGTTGATCGGTGTTCCCGAAATCGTCGACGAAAATTTGTATCCGCACACACACACACATAGATCCATTTTTTCTAAGGTATGCTAAAATGTTCAAAAACGTTTGAAACGTAAATTTTCATGTTCGATTTCTTTGCTATAACTATAACTTACCCTACGGGAAGTTAATAACATCTAATGTGCTATTAACAGAATGCACTTAAAATTTAATCGTCTAACCAGTTTTAAAACCATACAAATTCTTATAGTTCATCTATTATCCTAAATTAAAATGGAGTCATATAGGCAGTAACTGTTTACTATGTACACACTGTAATTGGTATTTATGGGGTGTAGATGCAACGGGTCATTTCTCTTGCATATAAACGTCACATATGCATTCGAGCAAAAAGTCATGTTTGTCGTTTATTTGTTACGTATGCATTGTATGCGTTTCTATCTCGTGACTGCGCTCACCTTACAGGAGCGAATAACAACGAGGGGCCCCCGTTATCGAAAACTAGACACTGACAGGAACAGAATGCTACGTAATAAAATATTTAACGACTTCTAGATTTTTATCAATTGCCAATAATTCAATCACAATTTCAATACTTTGAGCACGTCGTGGTTATTGGTTAAGAATGTGGACTAGACCGATTCCATCATCGGCCAACTCGATATCAAATTTTTCTTTGACGTTGAAGGTCTCAAGTGAAAATCGTCTTGCTGCATGATATATATGCCAGCACTATTAGATATGAGTACATATATAATGTTAACACATAAAAAATAAGAGTGGTTGATCGCTGGGTGGCCCCTTTGATATAAATACTAGATTAAGATGTACGATAGCAAACACAGCTCATACAATGAGTATAAAATAAAAATTTGAAAAAAATCAATACTGTAAACAAGAACAAGGCTAATATTAAATTCGTGGATATTTACTTCTACCGCATCAATCATGTTACCATACTTATAGATATAATATTAATTTTTTGAAGGAGAAATTTATGTTTTGCCAGAAAAACCAATATGCTAATAACATGTTTTATCGACGTTTTAAGACAATTTGAATCACTTGACACGAAAATTGATAAAGTGTGTGTGTGTATCTAAAATTTGTCGTTTTGTCGATGTTTTTTCAAAACACAGCTAAACCGATTTGGCGAAAAGTACTCGCGTTTATTAGTTTAGCGAGGCTTGTTTGTTTTTTTTTCGCAAAAAATCTTGAACCGGTTTTGCAAATTTAAAAACCATTCGACAGATATCAAATCATGCTGACTAGTATTTGGTAAGGATTGGCCAGGCCGTTTCTTCGTAAATAATTGTTGAAACACATTTTTATAACGATTTTGATAATACTTTGTATGATAGAGTACGGGTCTAAACTAAACATTCAAATATATTACGAATTACCTAAAAAAAGTAGTTAATTATAAAAAAAATTTTTTAATTTTAAAAGTTGCTAAATCTCAATTCTTATTGGGTAAATCGATTTTTAAATTTTTTTTATACTTCATACAACATGCCTTACGAAAAAATGTCACTTGCACCTAGTTACCGTGTTATCATGCGTTCAGCTATAAAAATTTTACTGTGCTTAAACACATAATAATGGTTTTAATAATATGTACTCGTGAAACACAGTAATAAAAATTTGTACATTAAAGTTACCTGTTCAAGTTATAACAACAAATGTATGGTTATTAAAATTTTATAAAGTACAGTAGATTCAAATTTTAAAAACATTTATATTGTTTTTAATTTTTGCTCGTTTTTACATATACCATGCTATACATATAATATATTAATAGTTGAATTCTACATGCAAAATTATTTCTATGAAGCGTACTGTATCTATTAGTTCAAGTATTACAAATAATTTATGATAATTGTAAATGAGCATTTTGAGTATGTACTAAATGTATAACTATTTTCATTTTAATAAGGCTTGTTGTAGCACTAATATTTGTTTCATATTTAATGAAATGTTACGCATACAATATTAAATATCTTATTTTTAAATCAATGGCTGTTGTTTTTATAGCCATTGAGAATAAACACTATATAATAGCATGGTTGATAAAATAATATAATATTGTAATACATTTGCATGCCACTCTTCTTCTAAAATCTAGACTAAAAATATTTTTTATTGGACTTTATTCCTAGCAAGGATGATAGTTAATAGAATTGTTTTTGCGTATCAATAGAATGAAAGCTTCTCTTGAATTTTCTTTTGACAAATTTTAAATTAAAATTTTATTGTTCTTAAGATGTTAAAAATATAGATTGCTATCTGAAGTAGTTTAAGAATTTAACGGGTTTAACAGCAAGACCGATAGACAAGAGACACAC